CAAAATGCATGAAAAATAGTAATAAAACATGCGATCATAAGCCAATACATCTTAAAAGTTGTAACTTTTTTTTATATGATTTGTGTTCTAGATCAAAAAGAAATCAACCAATATTATGCCAACACAAAAATTTACTCAACCAATAAGAAAAATTAGAGATTTAGTTATGCATTACTAATATTGGCTCTCAAGAAAGGTCATGGAAGAGTCTTTAGATGTATTTTTGTATGTTGTAATTTATATATATTTAGTATTTAGTAATAATATATTTGGATATATAATTATACATAATATCAAAATATAAATATTATATATATAGGTAATTAAAGGGCCGGATCTATATCGGGTTTGAACCTAATGAGACCCAAGCTCGGCTCATATTTTATTCGGGCCTAATTTTTAGGCTCAAATTCATATCGGTTCACTACAAGGTCGGGCTCATCGGACTTTTTGTCGAGCCAAAAAAGCCGAGCTCGGACTGGCCGAATCCCATTGACAGTCCTATTTAAAACTAAAGGGAAAAAGTTACAATGTACCAAATTACAATTTCTTTCGCACCTTTCTTTATCGATCAATTCTCTGACTTTTAATCCCTCTTTAAAGTTATTGTACTGCCTACGAATCAAGAACGCAACCAATTTCTTGCCAATCTTGAATTCCTCGTTCACTAGATGCATGACCATGATATCCTCAAAATCATGGCATACCCAACCAATCAACCCTTCAACCATCTTCAATTCTTTTTCTAGGTTGGATTTGTTATCTTCAATCCTCCTCTCATAAGATGCCTTTTCAACCTTCTCGGCCCTATATTGTTCAAACTGGTCCTTCCTCTTATCAGCTCCAACATGTCTCTTCAGAAACCTAACAATTTGTTCTATCTCAGCCTCAATTTCATTCAGTCTTCTTCCATCTTCTTTGAGATTAATAAGGGCTGTCTTGATGTAATGGCGGAGGATGTGTATCTTGCTCCCTGCAATGTCTTTATTAGTCCTGCGCCATTGAGTCATTTCAGAGATTATGTGTGAAACACTAGAATGATTGTATAACTCAAGAACCAAGATTGATTATTGATGGCGAAGATGACGCAATTCTCACAGAAGAGCAGTTTTTCTTGAGGAAAGTTTCTTTCTTTAAATCAACAAAACGAAGGCTAGAAGCAGCCATTGTAAAAAGGTATATTTTATCGTGTTCTCTGACTGTTGGTAATTGCAAATTCCGGGTTGCGAGCTCCAAGTAACATTAGAGAAGAAAACTTATATTTTGATCTCGGATCTACTCGACTTAAATTCAAAAAATCGTCTATGTCACCCTTAATTCTACTAAACCATGAGATAATGAGAAATCCTACTATGAGAAAATATGAGAAAGGTGGGAGTTTCGCACGCTCACTTTGAATAAGGGCAATTTGCTCAGTTTATCCTTGCAAGCCTGTTCCTTTCCCAATTCTTGCCCTCATTTATACGACTCCTCATACCTGCACTCTTAGGGGCCGCTTGGTTCATGTTTAGGAATCGGAATTGTAATTGGAATCATTTACAAAAAATTAGTATGGGTTTTGAGTGGGTTGTGGTCAAGGTATCAATACAATAACAAGCGCTTGGTAGATATTTGTCAGGAATGGATATTACATTAAAATTTGAATATTTTATCATTTTTAAATTTATTTTTGTTCTCTCCTTTTTGTTCTTAATCCAATTGCTGAACATCCTTCTTAACTGAATTGCAGAACTTCATAATGACCATTAATGGATCAACCGGTGTTTTTCTTGGATTTCAAGATCACAAAATCTGTTTACGTAAACCCCACTTGTAACGTGAAGATCATTAGATCTAGTTTCTAAACAACTTTAAAAAAGAAAGAAAGAAAGACTCAGATTTGCAGCCATACAACCCCCAAAAAAGATGAGAGCCATCGTCAGATTGCAGCCATACTCCACCACTTTAACTCCTCCTTCATTGCAGCCATACAACCCCCAAAAAAGACTCAGATTTGCAGCATAGAGCACAGAGCACAGAGCCGTCGGCAACCAATCAAGATGAGATTCTTTGGCCAACAAAAATTACTATCACATTTGCAGCACAGAGCCGTCATAAGCTGTGGAAGATTGGAAAAAAAGAGGCCTGCTACACCGGTAGGAGAGAAATTAGAAGATTGGAGAGGAAAGGGAGAGGCCGGTTTGATATGGAGAAAGAAGCAAATAGGAGAATGTGATGAAAATAGAAGAGAGATGGTGAAACAATAAGTGAGATGAAATAAAAAAAAATTAGATTTGGAATCAAACGTGGGATTTCACAAAACCTCCCAACTTGGTCAGGAATGGGAGAAGTCCAATTTTTTAGGAATGATTCCAAAATTTGTATTCCAATACACTTAATCCAAGCAACAAATAAGGGATTCATTCCTTTCTGTGATTCCCAAACCCTCTAACCAAGCAGCCCCTTAGTCTAAGCCCGTCCAATAACAAGGTTCTCGCAACTCGAGAAAGGAACCAGAGTTCAATTCGTTGGATTTTTTCATCGATGAAGATTGGATCTCTAAGCACACGTTTAACACTTCCTAATTTTATTGAGTTTTCTATTATTTGACATAATCTAAATTATTCCTTTCATTTGATTCAAAAATTAGGCAATTTGAAATATATCTGCGGCAATTGCATGATCTTGTGCTAAGTGGAGCAAAAGATGTTTGCAATTCTTAGGGGGCGTATGGCAAAAGGGTATAGGAATGAAGAAATGGAATAAACTCCATAATTGGTGTTTGGTTCACTGGTATGGAATTGAAAATTCGGAATGATTTCTAAAAATTTGGCATTCCTTCGTTCCTTAGTAAAAGGGTGGGTTTTGTCCAAAACCCAAATGTAATTCCAAAATCTTATAATTTCATAATATTTAGTATAATTAATATTTATATATATATTATATATTATATATTTATATTTATATTTATATTATAATATATACATATATATAATATATTATAATTATAAAATTTTATTATAATTATATATTTTATTATAATATTAGTATATTATATAAATATATATTATAATTATTTAGTTAAATATAATTATATTTATATAATATATATTATAAATTTATTAATATTATATAATAATATATTTATAATATATATGTATATTTATAAATGTATATTATATGTGCATATAATTATAATAAATAAATGTATATAATATTAATAAATTATATTTATTATTTTAAATATAATAATATATAATAATAACTATATCTAATTAATATGCATTATATTTATATAAAATATTAGTACAATTAATATTTATACATTATATAATTATAATTATATATTTATATTATAACATTCGTATAATTATAATTAATTATATACATAATATTTAATTTAATTAATTACAAACTTATAATAATTATATAATTTTATTATATAATTATATATTATAATTATTTAGTTAAATATAATTATACTTATATAATATATATTATAAATTTATTAATATTATATAATAATATATTTATAATATATATGTATATTTACAAATGTATATTATATATGCATATAATTATAATATATACATGTATGTAATATTAATAAGTTATATAATTATAATATATACATGTATGTAATATTAATAAGTTATATAATAATAATTATTATTATTATTTTAAATATAATAATATATAATAATAACTATATTTAATATGTAATATATATTATATTTATATAAAATATTTTTATAATTAATATTTGTATATATTATATAATTATAATTATATATTTATATTATAACATTTGTTTATTTATATTTAATTATATATAATATTTAATTTAATTAGTTACAAACTTATAGTAATATTATTATTAGTTATATGTATTATATAATATATATTAATTTATGTAATATGATTAATATTATCAATTATACTAATAATTATACATGTTTACTAATAGAAATTATTAATCAGTTAGACAAAATTTACTAATACATTTATATTCATATATTTAATTAGTGAAAATTTCTTATATCCCATTTACAAAGAGCCAATAACTATCATTCACGATGTGGTTTATAATATATTTATTATATTCCATTCTGAAAGAGTCGATGAACCAAACATCAACTATAGTAATGATACACATTCCAGGTACTTGAACCAAACAAATGTATTGGAATGAATGATCTCATTCCAAACTCAGGATATCCGATTTCGATTCCGATTTCGATGTGCGCACCAAACACCACCTTAAGGATGTAGATTTAAGCATGATTTGGTCAATAAATGAGTAGGTAGACATATGACATACTGACACATCTAAGGGAAATAAAAAATTTTAGAAAATGGATCTTTGTTTATTTCGGTGAAAAGTTAATCAAAATTGGAATTTGAGAACCTTTGGGTGCTGCAGCGGCTTAAATTAACACATAGATATACATGGATTTAAAAAAAATTATTCATGCACCTGGTTAATGAGAGATAAAAAAATTCATTTTATAAAATATAAGGGATAAAAAAATTTATTTTATAAAATGTGAGGGACAAAAAAATTCATTTTGCGAAATGTGAGATACTATGAATCGGATTATATAAAATTTGATTTGATAATTTTGCCCCTAAAATATAATCAGGTGTAAGGTATATGATGGATTCTGACTAAAAATTAGTCGAAAACCTTAGTAGGAACCAAATTTGATTAATGTGAATTTGTAAGGGACGTAAAATTATATTTTTAAAAATGAGAAGTGAAAAAAGCTATTTTATAAAATATGGGAGATGTTTCAAACAATTTTTTCTATTTTGGTTATACTAATTAGTTAACTGAATTTGCCACTTATTCGGTTGATTTTCTACATTCCGTCAAGGATTACATTTAAATGGGATGAATTTTGTACTTTAAGGAGCTAAATGTCCTATTGTGAAGTTTAAGGACGTAAGTGGGAATGGGGCCAAAGTTAAAGGGTACAAAGCGAAATTAACCCCTCCATAAAAGTATAATTCAGTCCGCCGGATTTGTATCCCATGTTCAAGAAATCAAAAATGACACCAATCCGGAGGCTCTGTTTCCTCCTGAAAAACCCCCCTTTGAACCCCACCACGACCACCACCGTGTTTCGTCACTTCTCCACCACCAACACAGGCGACGACGAGTGGAATGATGCATGGGAAACAGCTTGGCTCCCCGACGAGCTCGCGGGAAAGACTCGAGCCCCATGGGAAACAGACGTCAACTTCTCACTTTCCTCCGCTGAAACCGTCCCTTCTCAAAATCCTAACAATTCCCATCTTGATATGGATTCTGAGACCAAGGCTTTCGTGGAGGACATGAACGAGAACTGGGATCAAAGAAAAGGGAAGCCCAGAAGTAGTAGTACCAACGCGGATAAGAATGATGGGGTGGTTAAAAAAGAGGGAATTGGTGCTGGGGCGGCTGGAGCTTCGTCTGAGCTTTATAGGCTGGAGAATATCAAGAGGGATTATAGATTGAAGAAGCAGAGAGTTCATGCCGGGCTATGGGCGAAGGAGATTGAGAAAATGGAGGAGGCTAGGTTGGGGGATTCCATTTCTGGTGCTGGCGATGACATTGAGAAATTGCTTGATAGCTGCTCAGAGTATGCTTCCTTGCCCTTATCTATTTATTTTTATATGTTATCTGTACAGAATTAGGAACTCGAGCAATTGGTTTCCTGATTTTGCCTAATTGTTCAGGTTTAAATCGACTTTATTTATGTTTGTCAAATTATTTCGGCTGTTTCTGCTAGCTTTTCTAGATTTACTACGTGTCCAAGATGAAATTTTTAGCTAAACATAAATCTCAAGGATTATATCTTCCTTGAACACTGCAAAAAACGGCCTGACATGCTTATGTACAACGAGCGAATCATCCTTGGGCTAAAGGCATAGCCATAAAACCATGTCCAACCTTAACCGCTTGCAAAAAGAATTGTGCTTAACATATACTTATCCATGATGGCACGGAGTCTAACAATGTTCAAATTGTTATATCTTGCTAAATTTTAGTTTTATATTTCATTTTCAGTATTAAACTGTGCCACATGTCGGGAGACACCCCCCAACCCCGCCACCAAAAAAAAAAAAAAAAAAGAGTAAAGAAGTGAAGGAGACCGTCATTGGATGCATCATCAAAAGTTAATTTTTGCAAGAGGTTTAGTAGATAAAAAGCATTTATACGCAGGCACATGTTTGCATTTGCCATTTCAGTCTTTCTTAAGTTTATGCTGACATTGTGCTGTTTGTTTCAGTAGATTGTTTATGCCTTTATGATCTCATGCTTATTTTGGAACACCTTCAGATAGCCGCTGGGTTGTGTATTTCTCGTTAATGACTCTAATCCACATGAAGACTTTTATGCCCAAATTTTCTTGATATTATTAAGGTTTTTGCCTATGTCGAGCTCTTTTGTCATGAAAGTTTGAAGATTGGAGACCTTAACTATACTCCTTTGGTTAAACAAATGCAGGATATTTGATTCTCCCGGTGATGATTTAAATAATACTAAAATTCCTGGCACAGAGTTCAAAAATAAGCCTGATGGATGGGAAACAACGTCAAGAGCTCAAGATGGGAATATATGGCAAATGACACAAAGAGAAGAAGACATTCTGCTTCAAGAATTTGAGCGCCGAATTGCATTCAACAAGTTCCAGGTGTGTATAATTTGGTCATGATATCAAATTAGCATATTCTGACGACGACTCTTTAGACTTGTAACTCTGTTGTAAGCAGCATGATGCAAATGAAATTGGCATTCTTTTGTCTGATATTTTACCCAAGTAGTGCTGGCTAATTCTTCTACCGTGCAAAGTTTGCTGAAATCTAGCTTGAGCTGTTGGTGGCGGTCCCACCTTCTATTAAGAAGATTGGCAGCTGAACTGTTTTCAGCTGCCAATCAGCTCGTAAAAGCTCATTTTATGATCTTCACTTGTTGGATTCAATTGTCTAGTATGATTTCCTTTCTCGTTTTGTTTTTTGAGTACTGCCACATTTTTAAGCGTCTAGGATTCTTTAGTGTTGCATGCTTTAGTCTGGACTCATTAAGCTAGTAGTTTGGTTTGTAAACAGTTCAGTGTTGATCAGACTTGTTTTTACTTTGTCGAAGAATTTTCAATAGCATAGCATGGCACTCTCGTTACTATCTTTTTTTTTTTTTTTTTTTGGGATGTTGGTTGCAGTTTCTAATCTTAACAAATATTATTCTTATGCAGATTGCAAGTTTTATTAAAACTCACATATTTAGCCGAAGAAGACCCATTGATGGATGGAAGTACATGATAGAGGTGATTGGACCAAATGCAAAGAGAGGGAAAGGCAGTGTCTCAAGATTGCCTAGTGTATCAGATCCAGCAACTCAACCTTTCAAAGAGGAGAAAGCACCAATTACCAGTACTCCCCTCTCCTACAAGGGGAGGTAATAGTCATCCTTGCTCGTAGGAGCATCCATATTCAATCAGAGATGTTTGTTACCTTGTTAACAGGAGTGAGGGAGTTTCTACTGAGATTCGAATGAATTTTAGCATTGTCACATACAAGTCAAATTCAGAGAGCTCAGCATGAGTTTGCAATACTTGTATGGGAAACAGATGAAAAGAAGCCACATGTTTTATTCTGGAGTGAACGAAGAAAAGAAAACAGAACTTGAGCAAGAGAATGCCTTGAGCTGCTATTTCCCTACTTTGGAAGTCCATTTCTCTCGGAAGCCGAGAGGATCATGTTGCACAATACGGAAGCATGAATGAAGATACCGCTGAGAGAAGGAAACAGTTGCGCAGTTCATCTCGCAAGTTCAGGTGAAGCTGAACTTGAAATTGTAGTATTGATGAAGAATCCATTAAACGTTTGTTGTTGGTTGATTTAGCACTAGCGGATTCTGTTTAGGAATATTTAAATGGGCGTTTGCCGTTAGATGTGCCAAAAACGAAAAAGAAAGGAAAGGCATTCTACTTCTCTTGTGCTCAAAAAATTAGTGAAACAAAAAGGTAAAGTAAATCGTCCCCCAAGTTTTTCCTTTTCTTTTTTCACCCTTGTCACGACGACCCATCCAAAAGGGTCAGAAGAATAATGGCCCATCATAACCCCAAAACCCAGAGAAAACATTTGCTGTCGACTTTTGACCCAAAAAAAAAAACAAGAAAAATCGCCCTCCTCCTACAACCTGTATAGTAGCCCCGCCCCACGTGTCACTCACCTCATATGTTGAAACTTACGACATCGTAGCAAGAAAGCCATGAACGGTCCGTGCTTGGAAGGGTCGTGCAGTCAGAAAGTAGGTCAAATGTGAGAGAGCACCTCCCCAGTACCACCCAGCAAACGACCTCGTTCCCTTATATTTTAAACATGTGTGTGAGTAACGGAATATGAAGAATGGATGTGAGACGAACTGTGGAGCTGTCAGAAAACACTGCAGTGGCCTACTGTTCCTTCTCCGCGTCTCCCACCAACGTTGCCGTCTCCGAAAGAAAGTTTGCTTACAGCAAATTACCCAGAATAATTTGCGGCAAATATTCCTTTGAAAAAAACTGTGCCTTCATCAGGTAATTATCGATCCTGTCTCTATCTTATTTCTTTCTCTTCTTATTCATAATTACGTGAACTTTTTCCCGACCAAATCATACCCTCACTGGATTCTCGCCGGCCGATCTTTATCTACCGACCGGTGCAAGATGGCACCGAAAGAACCCTTTTTTCTTCTCGGGTTTTTGCTCTTGTTTTGTTTTTTAATGTCCTTTTCCAATGCGAACTGCCCCAAAACCAATTCTTCCCTCCTCAACTACACATCCCAATTCTTGATGGTACAACACCAATTGCGTGGGGTACTTACTATCCTAGATGATTGTTCCTTTAAGGTTTCCCAATTTGATATGCTTCAAGGCTCGGATAATGTTAGCTGGTGGGGTGCCTCGGGTGAAACCTTCGAAAATCTCACTCGGGGTTTTCTGATCTCAGATCATAAGTTGAATCAGACCTATAAAAATGATAGCTTTACTGTTAATTTACTGAAAAATGTCACTTGGGATCAGATCAAAGTTCTTTCTGTTTGGGATTTGCCCACTGCTTCTGATTTTGGTCACGTTGTCCTTGGGGGGAATTCTTCCTCCACCAATTTTAATGGGACTGGTGGTCCTTTGACAGTTACAATGTTCGATAATTGTAAAGTTTTGTCGAAAAACTATAGGGTTAGGTGGAATTATAGTGAAGATAAGGATTTTATTGATTTTGGGTTGGAAGGTGCTATTGGGATTCAGAACTATATGGCCTTTGGTTGGGCAAATCCCAATGCTTCCGAGAAGTTTATGGTGGGTGGAGATGTGACTGTGAGTGGTTTTAAGGAGAATGGAATGCCATTTGCAGAGGATTATTTCATATCAAAGTATAGTGAGTGTGTGGTGAATGAGGAGGGGAAGTTTCAGGGGGTTTGTCCTGATTCCATGCTTGATAGCTCTGATCCTATTGGTTTGGTTAACAACACGAGATTAGTTTATGGGCATAGGAAGGATGGGGTTTCTTTTATAAGGTTTAGGAGGCCGCTGAAGAGTGTTGATGGGAAGTATGATTTGGCTGTGAATCCTAAGGCTAAGATGACTGTGATCTGGGCTTTGGGCTTGATAAAGCCGCCTGATAGTCTTCGCCCTTTTTATCTTCCTCAAAATCATGGTGGTACTTTTGGACACTTGGTACTTAACATATCAGAGACTGTGAATGATTGCTTGGGACCTTTGGATGCTGAAGACAAGGAGGACCAAGATCTTGTCATTGCTGATAAGAAGGAACCTCTAGTTGTTTCGACTGGGCCAGCATTGCATTACCCCAATCCGCCTAATCCTTCAAAAGTTCTTTATATTAACAAGAAGGAGGCTCCTGTTCTTAGGGTTGAGAGAGGGGTTTCAATCAAGTTCTCCATACAAGCAGGGCATGATGTTGCATTCTATATCACCTCTAATCCACTTGGTGGAAATGCTACCTTGAGGAATATGTCTGAGACTGTTTATTTTGGGGGACCAGAAGCTGAAGGAGTCCCAGCAAGCCCTACAGAACTGACATGGGCGCCTGATCGCAATACACCAGATATAGTTTATTATCATTCTGTCTATACGCAAAAGATGGGTTGGAAAGTTCAAGTAGTTGACGGGGGTCTGCCAGATATGTATAACAATAGTGTTGTTTTGGATGATCAGCAAGTCACACTTTTTTGGACATTATCAAAAGATTCAATATCAATTGCAGCTCGGGGTGAAAAGAAAAGTGGTTATCTTGCAATAGGTTTTGGACGTGAAATGGTACACAGCTATGCTTATGTGGGTTGGATTGATGATGATGGAAAAGGAAGGGTGAGCACATATTGGATAGATGGAAGGGATGCCTCTAGTTTGCATCCAACTCAGGAGAACTTGACATATGCAAGATGCAAGTCTGAAAATGGTATCATCACATTTGAATTCACCCGTCCGTTACACCCATCTTGTAGTAAAAGAGATGAAAGGCCAGAATGTAATAACATTGTTGATCCTACAACCCCTCTTAAAGTTATTTGGGCAATGGGTGCTCAATGGTCAGACAACCACTTGAGCGTTACAAATATGCACTCTGTCACAAGCAAGAGGCCTGTTCACGTGTTGCTTATGCGTGGTTCTGCTGAGGCAGAGGAGGACTTGCGGCCAGTATTAGCTGTACATGGTTTTATGATGTTTCTTGCGTGGGGTATACTGCTTCCTGGTGGTATTCTAGCTGCAAGATACTTAAAGCATGTCAAAGGTGATGGGTGGTTTCAACTTCACGTATACTTGCAATACTCAGGATTATCAATCGTTTTCCTTGGTTTTCTTTTTGCTGTAGCCGAGCTTCGAGGTCTGTTCCTCCACTCATTACATGTGAAGCTTGGAATGCTGGCAATATTGTTGGGTGTTGTGCAACCAGTAAATGCCTACTTTCGACCTAAGAAACCTGGTGCTGGAGAGGTGGTTTCTTCAAGGAGGATTCTTTGGGAATATATGCATGTCATTGTTGGCAGGTCCAGCATTCTTGTTGGGGTTGCAGCTCTTATCACTGGAATGAAGCATTTGGGAGAAAGATACGGTGATGAAAATGTTCATGGACTTACTTGGGCTCTGATAATCTGGTTATTGGTTGGTGCTTTGACAGTAATTTACTTGGAGTACCGTGAGAAGAAGAGGCGGCAGGATAGAGTATCTGGAGGAAGCAGTTGGGTATTGGGTAACGGTGAGGAGGAGGATGTCGATCTCTTGAGTCCAAGTCGGACAGTAGCAGAAAAAGATTCAGATTTTTCTGAAAGAATGGAAGTGCAGTTAGAACCTTTGAGCAGATAGAAACTCCCTTTGAAGACTCGCCTAGGATATAAACTTGCTCTGGTCCAGCAATTTTGAAATCGGCAAATCATACAGAAGACAGCAGGCTTTGTTGGTTACAAGGTTTTAGGTGTATCACATGTCACGGCTTTGTCCTACTTTTTGTCCCTCGCGAGGCAGCTAAGCTGCTGGATGTAATTGTATACTCCATACATTTATTGGCATAGTTAAAAAGTATTCTTTTTAATAGAAATCTCTGTAGAAAGGATTTTGCAGTTCTCTTTTGCATCTCCTTCGTGTGTAATTCTGTTTAATAGCATCTCCTTCCCTTATATTTCCATGCTGTTTGGGTATTGGGTCGGTGGAACATAATTGCGCTAATTTGGCCAGATGCAGGAATCTCTGTACAGTTATTGGAGCGAAATTAAAATTTATGGAACATCAAGCTCCTTTAGCATCTTTATTTCAAGTAAACAGAAGCTGTACGAATAACGTGCTTTGCAATACTCGGCCTAAATGCCATGGCCTGAATACATCTCCTTGAATTTACTCTTGGCTTTCTTCACCAGGTACTTCACTTTTCCCCTGAACACCTTATCGTTCTCATGACATGTGCAAGACCCATTTTCCGCCTCTTCACAACCCATGCGACGACCTCAAAAACTGACCCAATCTTCAAATATCCAAACTTTGAAGAATTCATCCAAGAGTTCCATGCACACTTCATCAGAACTCATCGTCATACCGACTCATTATCGATGTCAAATATTATCAAGTTCTACGCTTTGTCTTCTGAGACAATACTCAAAGCCCACTTTGCTTTCCTCCAGATTGAGCACCCCACCTTACCAATCTGGAATTTCATGATCCGTGGATTCGCTCAGAGCGACCTACCCGGTGAAGCGACACCCCTATTTGAGAAAATGCGTGACAGAGGTTTACATGGAAATAATCTGACGTTTATATTCCTGTTTAAGGCTTGTTCTCGAGTTTCAGATATTTTAACTGGTAAAAAGGCCCACGGTCTTGCTCTAAAACTTGGGTTTGGATCTTACCTTTACGTGTGTAATTCTCTTATTCACATGTACGGTTCTTGTGATGCATTGGATTTTTCTCGGAAAATTTTTGATGAAATGCCTGAAAGAGACTTGGTTTCTTGGAACTCGTTGATATGTGGGTATAGTCAGCGCAACAAGTTTAAGGAGATTTTGGTTCTTTATGGTGCTATGCAAGCAGCCAATCTGGCGGCTGATTCTATTACCTTGGTGAAAGTTCTATTAGCTTGTAGTCGTATGGGTGAGCTGGACGTGGCAGACTCTGCGGTGAAATATATTGAGAATAGTGGTATTGAAATTGATGTTTATTTGGGTAATGCACTGATTGATATGTATGGAAGGCGGGGTTTTGTTGACTTGGCTCGGGGAGTTTTTGACAGGATGATAGAAAAGGATGTGGTTACTTGGAATACCATGATTATGGGATATTCAAAAGCGGGGAATTTTGATGCAGCAATGAAATTATTTGATGAGATGCCCAGGAGGGACGTCATATCTTGGACCTCCATCATAGTGGGGTACTGTCATGCAAAACAATTTTCTGATGCCATCAGGATTTTTCGAAGGATGATGGCCGCTAAAGTTAAACCTGATGAGGTTACTGTTGCTAGTGTTCTTTCTGCTTGTGCACATTTAGGCATGCTTGATGTGGGTAATGCGGTGCATAAGTATGTCTGTGAATATGATGTCAAAGTAGATATACACGTGGGGAATGCCTTGATCGATATGTACTGCAAATGCGGATCAACTGAGAAGGCCTTGGAAGTTTTTCATGATATGAAAGAGAAGGACACAGTTACATGGAACTCAGTCATATCCGGACTTGCAGTGAATGGAATTTCTGATTATGCTCTTGACCTGTTCTCACAAATGTTAATAGAAGGTGTTAAGGTGACTCATGGAACTTTTGCTGGGGTATTACTTGCTTGTGCTCATGGTGGATTGGTGGATAAAGGTTTGGACTACTTTGATAGTATGGGTAGGGTTCATGGATTAGTTCCAGAAGTGAAGCACTATGGTTGCATAGTTGACCTCTTTTGTCGCTCTGGCAATCTAGAGAGAGCATATGAATTTATACAGTGCACGCCTGTAGCTTCAGAAGTTGTTGTGTGGAGGATATTACTTGGTGGTTGTAAACTTCATGGAAATGTGCCCCTGGCCGAGATAGCCTCCAGCAAGCTTATTGAATTGGATCCTCATAATGGTGCAAACTATGTACTATCATCTAGTGCTTATGCCAGTGCAGAGAGATGGAATGCTGCTACAAAAATGCGGGAATTGATCGATGAAGATGATTTGCAGAAGCCTCTAGGTTGGAGTACCATAGAAGTGGATGGTCTAGGACCTGTTGATTCACAAGGAAAAGGTCCTTCAGAGTCTCAAAATAATCCTAGTCCAATTAAACTATCTGAAAGAAAAGATTTTATCACTTCCCTTCCTGCAACATATGAAAATGGATAGTTACTTGAAGATTGAATAGATTTGACAGAGGTTTATGCAAGGGTATTGATACCCAGTCTCCGTGCATTTATCTGCAAAGCAGATAGGCCATGCAGTGCATTGCTTCTTGTTCTGGCAGTTGACTGGGCAAGAACTTGGCCATAGCATACATGAACATCAGCGGAAGCATGAACCATGGAACTTTGAGGAACCATCTGTGCATTCATATTTTTCATGTAAATGTTATATAATTGTTTTAATTGTTTTCTTTCTCTGGGAAGAGAAAATGCTGCTTCGTGCTAACAGATTTGCAAAGGGATTGGCAAGCATTCTGTATGTATTTTACACTACTCCCTACTATCCTTGAGCATTCCCTGTAGTCTTATCCGTGTACCTTCTCATCATTAATAAAATCTTTTGTTCCGTCTAAAACTTGGGTACATTTCATGAACTCTAGAAACAAATTTTATGAGTGAAAATCTTAGTTGGCAGTCAAATATATTGACAAGTTAACAATTACACCAACATTGTACAAGTTTACACTAATGTAGTAAGAATTATACAAATCGGATTGAACTGGGCATGACTTAACTTTTGAGGACCTGATCCACTTTATAATTTAGCCTATAAATGGTGTCTTAAGTAATCTCAAATTGCTAGGCCAGATTGTTTTATTGACCAGTTAACAATTACACCAACATTGTACAAGTTTACACTAATGTAGTAAGAATTATACAAATCGGATTGAACTGGACATAACTTAACTTTTGAGGCCCGGATCCAGTTTATAATTTAGCCGATAAATGGCGTCTTAAGGTCTTTAAAAAATTCAAGGTGACTTATTAAAGCTTTATTCTGGTTTGTTACCCTGCAAACCAGTTTTTTACGTGGGATTTTATCTCGGTTAGTTGCAATCACCACCTCTGGGTTTCCCAAATTACAGATTACACACTTTTTTCCTGTAAAAAGAAGATGAAAAATGAACTGCCGCGACTAAAATTGTTGGTTCATGTTCAAGAGAAAATTTCGAACTTCGCCCACCAAATTTCTTTTCCCGTATCTCTACTCCACACATTGCCCAGATGAAAAGATTGTAACTTCATTGCAATCTTGCAAAAACATATCTGAAATTACCCCAATCCATGGCTTAATGGTCAAGACTGGTCTTGATCAAATACCATTTACACTTAGCAAGCTTCTTGCCTGTTCAATACAAGATATAAACTATGCAGGCTCCATTTTCAAACATATACAAAAACCAAATCTTTATATGTTTAATACTATCCTAAGAGCCTATTCAATCAGTGAGAATCAAAATCAGGTTTTTGTTCTTTTCAATTACTTGAGGGCTCAAAGAATTGTGCTTGATGAATTTACTTTCGTCCCAGTTCTCAAATCTTGTTGCAAAAAGTTTGCCACTTGGACTGGTCTTGGTGTTCATTCAATTGTGTTGAAATCTGGGTTTCAGCTGTTCTTGAATGTAAAGAATACGCTTTTGCATTTTTACTGTGTCTGTCAGAGAATGGGCGAGGCCCGCAAACTGTTTGACGAAATTTCAGGAGGGAGAGACTTGATACCGTGGAACATTTTGATGGGAGGCTATCTTTGTGCGTCTCAGAATAATGTGGTTTTAGACTTGTTTAAGCAGTTATGTACCACTGGTCAAATTGTCGGCAAGACCACAATCTTGAGTGTTATCTCGGCTGCTGGGGAACTGAATTGCGTTTTGACAGGCGAGTGCTTACATGGATATTGCATAAAGTTTGGTTTTTGCTTGGATTTAAATGTGGTCAGTGCATTGATTTCCATGTATGGTAAAATGGGCTGCATTGATTCAGGGAGTAGGGTGTTTGCTGAAGTTTCTGCAAGAGATGTTGTGGTGTGGAATTGTCTCATAGATGGATATGCTAAAGGTGGCCTGCTAGATGAAGCATTAGGTTTACTGGGTTTGATGAAGCTGGAAGAAGTAAAACCCAATTCATCGACCCTGGCAGGGTTGCTTTCAGCTTGTGCTTCATCTGGGACTCTGGCATTGGGTCAACGTATACATGACTATGTAGAAGTGCAGGAGATAGTTTTGGATGCAATACTTGGAACAGCTTTGGTGGATATGTACGCTAAATGTGGATTGCTTTCGATGGCAAGTAATGTTTTTGATATGATAGAGAAGAAAGATGTGAAGTGCTGGACAGCCATGATACTGGGTTATGGAGTAAATGGGGAGCCAAAAAATGCCATTACTCTTTTCCATAGAATGGAGCAGGAGGATTTCAAGCCTAACGAAGTCACTTTCTTGGCAGTGCTCAATGCATGTAGCCATGGAGGATTAGTGACCGACGGAATAAGTTGTTTCAGAAAAATGGTGCAGCATTATGGCTTGACACCTAGAATTGAGCATTATGGTTGTATAATTGACTTATTAGGTAGAGCTGGTCTGCTTGAGGATGCACACGAACTGATCAAGAGCTTGCCCATCGAGGGGGATGCCACAGCATGGCGAGCATTACTCGCAGCATGCAGGGTCCATGGAAATGTTGAATTGGGTAAGTTGGTTAAGGGGAAATTGGAAACACTTTATGATGAACACCCTGCTGATTCGCTTGTACTCACTAGCACTTACGCTATAGCTGGGAGGATACCTGATAGCAAAGACATGCTCGAGAACAAAGGGAACCCATGTAGTCAAACTGCAAAGAAGGAAGCTGGAAGCAGCATAATTCAGTTGTCTAACAAGGAGTGGGAACTGGAGGTGTGAATTTTGGAGCTAAACAGAATACTGACCATGCATATGCCGCGTGGGGCATACCTTCATTGATAGATTTCAAAATCTTTGGCAAAATCAGATAAAACCTGAATTAAGCTTGACCAAAATTTTGTTAGATCAAGGCTGTTTCATGTCTAACCTGCCATATTGCACATACACTGTTGCTCCCCCTACTCTTTCTTGCTGCAAATTATGAACCTCCCGTTGCTCTATTATTTGTAGTCATGACAATGATGCACTTTTGAGATACTGGCGAAAAGCAATTCTAAGCCCGGTATTGGCCAACAAACGGATTGAGATGGCAGATGTACGACCCTAAGTTGTATGAAGTCGTAAAACATCTGCAATTCTGATGCCCTCGCCCACGCTGAGTATCTGGATTTCTTCTCTAATTTCTTGTGAAATGTTTTTGCGAACATCTGAATGTGAGTCATATCCAACATCGAAGAAGAAAGAAGTGTAAAGCAAAGAAGATTTGGAAAACAAGCTCGTCTAAAATTGTCCTCTTTTCCGAACATGGTACAAAATGCACTAGCTAAGATTTCTAATAAAAGGAGAAACATAATACAGCTATAGATGAATGATACATTTACATGTCATAGGTGCTAACTGAGTCTTCGTGTTTTAGTCATGCTTGTATTCTTCCCCATCCCGCTCTTATGTGGATATGGAAAAGCCAGGATATCAACTTTACACGTTAACAAAAAAAAAAGGCAGAAGAACAAGGAGTTCCGGGTTCAGCATTCAAAGATGGTTACTGTACTTGATGGTCAAAACACCCTTTTTATACAGTGAAATTGACGAGATAGCAGCTACAGGTTAAATTGGGGCTCGGATATTGTGGCGCTCAAGTACTTTTCTTCCATTTTCTGCCCACCACTTCTCTGCCTGCTGCTCACTGAAATATTTCCGACTACAGAAATAACAGATTATTAGAAATTATAGCAGACTAATAAAAAGTTTGTGTTCTCCACAAAAATGTCTCAAAAATGTATTAGTTGTTGATATAGAATCAGAGAAAAAATCTTATCCTACTATCAGGGAGTATTAAAGGTTTAAAATTTTCTTGGGTGTAAATTTTCAAGGGGTTGCAGTTGTTAAGGTCTGATTGCTCTTGATCACAACTGAAGCCAAACATATTCATGTGGGATCGACAGTTATCATAAGCATAGATGTCAATAATAATTGGAGAAACAAAGCAGGATTTGAATGGTCTCTAGCATCAAAGTGGTTGATGCAGCATAACACAAGCAGCCTTGTCTTCAAACCCTATGTTCAGCAATGTACCAAAGATTTTCATGACAATTTCCAGGGTGCTCTAACTGCGTAAATAACTAAACCAAGTTAGTTTGAGATGTCTTACCCACACACATATTCCTTGTTTTATAAAATTCCAGTGCAACCATGAATAGGTATATACAGGAAGACAGCACTTTTCACTGACTAATCGCAATGTGAAGTTACTTTGTCAAATAACCAGTAGATATGAACTACATTAACCTATTTGGTAAAATAGAGCAGATGGAGTAAAATCAGGAGGATTATTTTTAAGTCAATGGGGAAAATTCTACTTCTCATTGCTAGAGGAAATTAAGTTGTTCAAACAATCGTTTTAAGAAGTTATCTCCCTACCAGATAAAGGTCATTTGTGCCAATAGGATAGTATATATCATGTCAGTTGCCGTAGAATAAGCACATAAAGTTTCCAACGGAGACTTCCAAATGGTCACGGCAACACGACAGATTGATAAAAAAATGTGGGAAGAAAACTTCATTACAGATGTTGTTGAATTTAAGAAGAACATACATGTCATGAGATGACTTAAGTTGGCATAATTTTGTAATGCTCAGCAATTACTGAATGGGCACAAGATTGGAAATGAATATAGTACTGAGTCACATCGAGACAATCGTAGATGTAAAAACAGGAAACCTAGCATCGAAGTTGTACCTGAAACGAACCCGTCTGAGTTCATTCCCACCCGTTGGAGAGGAACAGATAGTCATATACACGCCTGGTTCATCTTTTATCACCCTCTCTGGCTTCTGCAGCTGAGTCTTGGCTTCATTTGCCTGCACTGAACTAGTTGAGGTGGCACTGGACTCGATTCTAAGTGGGGCTAGGCTAGTTGCTCTCCTCCAACTAGAAGGGCAGCTAGGATCATTAGATATTTGTTCTGAATCAGAATGCGAATTGCTCCTGGCAGGAGGACCCCCAGGCAATCTTTCAGCCATCTCTTTCAACTGCAAGATTATCAGATTATCAACCCAATTAGACCCTGCAATCTACTGTAAACATAATTACTCACTAGTCACTACAACGAATGACATTAAGCCAATATCTAATACAACCAGCCAAAGGAAATGCATCAATGAATTAATGAATAACTGCTCAATGTTCTCCTGCTTTTAAATATCATAAATATTTAAAATTGTTGCAGACAGTTTAGCAGAAGAACTTAAATTTTTGAGACAAACTACATAAAGTTGAAATTGTAATTGAATTCTTTTCCAGTTGAAACATTTTTAGATCTCATTAAACCAAGAGAATAAAGTCTGTGGTCTATGCAACAGTTTCTTATACCCTAGAGTCTCACCAATGTTATCCTTTTAAAGCTAACATGTCTGAGTAGGTAGACTTTATGGAAGTGTATCTTCTGGTTCTTCCAGTATGTTACAGCAACATAATATCATTATGAGAAAGGAAACCAAAGAGTAAAACCTCGCCACGGTTGCAAGCTGATAAGCTAAACTCAATGCATGACTAGTAAATTCATATAAACTTTTACCTATGCATGGAGTATATCAATGTAATAGACATTACCCTCCATAGACCATAATCATTTAAGCATGTTCTATAACATGAAAGAAAAGCTGACCTGGGCAGATAGTGACTTGATTACTTGTTTTGCAGCTCTGTTTTTCTCAGCTTCATCTGCTGCTTGTGCTGTAGCCTCCTTTAGTTGCCTTGATTTTTTCTCTAGCTCAACCTCAAGGAATTGTGATTTGCTTGCAAGTTCTTCCACCTACGCCAAAAAGAAAGAATCCTAATAAGTCATATCCTTTTGTTGATACAGCAACAACTGCATGAAAATCAGATATCTTTGTGAAACCTCCTGCATGCAAGTATTCCATCAACATTTACAATGTAGGTTGGTAGCTTGCAGATGGTTTTGCAGAAAAAGCCACACAAAATTCTGCAAGGCATATTACTTGGTTTGATAAATGAGCAATTCACATCTCAATGACTTTATCTATGGTGTCACAACCAGACGGAAATCTCAATACATAGCCACCTATATCTAGGTAGTTGAGAGAGAATTCTTGCCTACTAGTCAAAGTCAACTCTTGGACTCTAAAAGTTGTGATTGGCCTATTCTCTTTCTATCTTTCTTTTTTGCCTGGACATTCTGTTTAGTTTAAATGTCAATTGAAATTTTAACAAAGGACAGAGTTCAAAGCCACAAATGTTCCCATGTCAGCTGAATAAGAGAATGAATTTGATATTTCTATAGCTGTAACTGTGGCAAGAGATATCAAATAGCACCAATTTTATGGACTGCAAATCTACTTAAGAATAACTGCTAAATCCCTCATGGACTAAATAAGGATTTGAAAATTTAAAATGAATTTTAGATATCGTTCATGAATCTAGATGTTTGATTGGAAATACCCAAAAGCAATTAATCCAGTGTGTTTTATACATTAAGGGGTAGATTATCTACCAGTGCACTCTTTCCCCTTTCAAGATAGATCCTGGAAACCCAAAATCCAGTTTCAAGGATGCTTTTTCTTGTTTTAACACCGTATATGTGATCAATAGTAAGACAAAAAATGACGAAGCAAAGAATTGGACAATTGTCATTCAAGTCTGTCCGATTGCCAAATTTTTGGGTCTCAAATTCTATTTCTGATATTTCAATTAAAGTCTTCTATCACAATTGAACCTTAGATTCTTCAAAAGTTTTCTGCAATGTCCAAACTGCAAAGTACACTAGTGATGAAACTATTACTAGGTGCTGATTACAACAAATATGTAATTCATGAATCTGCTGACCTGTGCCCTTAAACACTTTATCTCCTCATGTAAAGCAGCATTGTTATGCTTTGAATCACCAACAATTGATCCATCTCCATTGACATCTATTGCCGGTGTAGGTGTTGCAGGCTGCAGTGGTCTTGTTTTACCTTGAACAGGAGAGGTTGATCGAGAAACCATTCTGGAATTAGGAATAGATAAGGAGAGGAACTTAGAGGTTCCCGTCGGACCAGTTGGGGATTTGAATGAAATGCCCCCCCGTTGATCATCTCCATTTGGAAAAAGGATCAGATTGCTACCATTTAATTCTGCTCTACTGCTACTCTTAATACTGCTAGCCTCGGGCACATTGAATGAATTAGAAGGAGAGAGTTTGGACATGTTTTCTGGTAGTCGAGGATTTTTGGTCTCCTTTTCTGTTAAGTCCAGGGCCTTGTAGAGTACATTTGCACTTTTAACACTAGCAATTCGAGGTGCAGATATAGAGGTAAAAGATTTCTGCAACTTAGTATAACAATCATCACAGACACGATGCGGCTTGCTCGCACTCGGGGCTAAAGAAGCTTTTAGGGACTTCCTACTGCTGCATGCTTTGCAAAAGACAAGTCCACAGTTGTAACAATTGTGACGCTTTCTTCTGAAATTGAAAGCATTGCGACAGCTAGAGCAAACAGAATTATCAGCAGAAGATATCCATTTATGCATACAGATAGCAGCAGTAAAGTTTGCTCCACATACTACAGTTTTTACTTGTTTATCTTTCAAAAATTCAACAACAACTGGTGTATTTCTGTCATCATTGTCTCCATGGCCCAGTTGTCCATTTGAACCTTTTCCCCAGGTATAGACTTCCATTTTCGATGTCAAAACCGCAACATGATGTGAACCACAGCTAATCTCCTCTATGAAACTATCAGCAATTATTCCTCCAACACAAGTGGGAGTTTTTCCATCAGCCAAAGGATTCCCTAACTGTCCATGCACTAAACTTCCCATTGTATATACTTTCCCAGCAGTTGTCAAAGCAACAGTTAAATTTTGTCCACAGGCTACCTGGGAAAAACTTAAATCATCTAATGCAGCTACACTTACAGGGACTAGTCTATGTTTTTTATCAGAGTGCCCAAGCTGTCCTTCATCCCCACTCCCCCAGGTGAATAGTTTACCAGACACAGAGCCCTCAGACGGTTCAGACTTGGAAGTGACACCAGTTTCAACAACTGCAGTTGTGTGCCAAACACCACAAGCAACCTTCAGAGTCCGAACTCCTTTCAAGGATTCAACTTCCCTGGGAATATTGGAGCTATGATGATCACCATGGCCTAATGCACCAAATGTTCCATCCCCAAATGTAAAAAGTTGCCCAACAGATGTTATTAGAGCTGTATGCCAGGGCCCACAAGAGACATATGAAACGTGTAAGCCCTCAATAGAGCCTCTAACTTTCTTAGGAATCCAGTGACTGACTTCACTTCCATGCCCAAGCAACCCACAGTTATGAGTGCCATCACCCCAACTGTACAGATCACCAGAAAGTGTAACGGCACAGGTATGATGCTCCCCACAAGCAACCATTTCAATGTTCATACCACTAAGGCTATCAATAAGCTTGGGATAGGGAAGATCAGCCACCAATCCATGACCCAAACGGCCTCCTGTCTCTTCACCCCAGCTGAACACTTCCCCTTGTTTAGTAACTAATATGGCATACTTACTGCCACAGGAAATACTATGGACATCAAGCACCACTGTTGACTCCAATGCCTTGGGCAAATTAGCATCAGTTCTACTTCCAGATGACGCACCTACTTTAAGTTCACCACCACCCAATACCCCTTCACCAGTTCCTTCTCCCCAAATAAAAACATCACCAAGACACTCAAAATCCTCGTGACATGATCCCTGGCTTGATGAACTTACAGCACTGGATAAACTAATTCGAACTGTGTCAGCTGTAGAAATTCGGCTATTTGAGTTGTCTGCGGCCCCAGGTATAAGAGAGCTGGCAGTGCTGGTATTTATTTCAGCCAGAAAAGAATTTTTTGATGTTGCTGTATATGAGACAACGTCAGCAAAAGCTTTTCCCAATCTGCTTTGTGGAATACTTTCAGCTCTTGGAGTGTCTCCATGATCCTAATATAATTAAGTCATCAACAAGATAATTAAGAGAGAGAGCCCTAACACCCTAATTTCCAAACAAATTAACTAAGAAGGGTAACTCACAAAGGGTAAACTTGGTGGAGAGGTTCTTCGAGAACGTGGACTGTCACACGAGGATGTTTCAGCCTTTGTGTCAATCCTTGCCTTGTGGTAGCTGCCATGAGCAACAAGTGCTTTAAGACCGAAAAACCAAACCTCAGCTTCATCCTTATCTTTACATATCTGTCCAAGACAGTAATTGAAAGATTAACAGGGCAAAGTTGAAGAGATGATGAAACTAATTTCCTTTCATACTCAAGCACTAGTTAACTATTTATTAGGAGCAATGAAAAGCTCACCACATCCAAGGATCTATCATTATATATAAGAGAAAACGATTGATATTCCTTCTCTGGTCGAGGGTACCGCTGAAATATTGCCTGAAAAGAAAGGGCAATTACCATATGAGTTGGATCTCACTCATTATTCTCAGGGAAGGGCAATTACATACAGCAACTTGCAGTAAATGGTCAACATAAGCCATGTAGTTGCTAAGAATGATGCAAAAACGATGATGGCCTTCAAAGACAAGAGTGCTCTGAAGAACAGTAATCTTCAAACAATTTGTTATTTAACTTCTTAGATTCGAGTCCTACATGATAGCCGCAAAAGTTTCAACTCTCTGTCTCTCTCTGATTTTTTTCCTACTCACCTTTTTCCTAACAAACTGACCAGCTCTAAGACAAGTGATCTTATGTCAATTTGAAAGGTCAGAGATGCATAATATACAGTTGAGGAGAAAAGTGATAGCTTCTCATCTAGATACATCAAGGTTCATTTGATCTTTGATCTGATAGAGGAATTGGCTTATTTCTGATCAACTAAGATGGTGCCTATACAAATGATAATAATTTGAAAATAAGCATAAAAAATTTGAGCTATTAAAACTTGCATGCTCATCCAATTTTTTCTGTCTCAAAGCATATTAATTAGGAAACCTCAATACTTCTTTTACTGCAACAGAAAATCAGAAGCAGAAGCTAACCATCCATCAATTTCTATTGAGGAAAAATATCAAGAAAAATCAGCAAACTTACAGTACGCTGTCCAGGAATAATCCTTGAAACCTGTCGCAGTTCAAGCTGTTTCTCTTCTTTGCCATAGTACCATATTAAGGCAGACTCATCCTGAAATTTAGCATCAAAAGCCACGGCAAACTAAAATAATGAACAAAATTTCTCTTGAAATGATCAGATTAACTACTAATAAAGGTTAAAACTCCACTAAACCAGCAATATCAACATATTCAAAAAGAGGAGTGTATCCTGACTCGTTACACCCAAAAAAAAAAATCTTTTTTTTTTGTTGCGTTGTTGCAAGGTTTTTGCTTGGCATTGGTTAAAATGCTAAGCCACACCATGAAATATCGAACACATTCCCGTGTTTTCTTGTATTAATCCACATACCTATATTTTAAAGCAGGTCAAACAACAGTAGGTGATGCACAAGTAAAATTGCACTAGGGTAAGAAGAATTACACGGTATGTTGATTTAGGTGTGATTGGGATAGAGAAGTTGTAGTAATTATCTTTCTTAAAAAGAAAATCAACAGAAGGGTATTGAGCAACCTCCTTGCTAATAAAGGAGAATTCCACATTTATTTTCCAGATTACCAAAATTTCCAACCGTTATAGATTATAGAACGTTACTTCTGCAGAAATTGGAGCATTCTCCACCGCTTCTTTTTATTCATGCAACATTTCAGAAGGTGTCAATGTGAAATTGTAAACATGACAATCCAAATCCAAAGCCTAGAAAAGAATGTGGAGCACTAAGTGCACAAATGTTGCTCATTAGTTCATCTATAAGATGATTTAATTTCTCATCAACAGATGGTGGCAAAAACAACATGGCAAAGCAGCAATCTCCAGCTAATTTTAAATTGTAGATCTCTTTTCTCCTCTCTATACTTTATGCTGTTATATATGAGGATGAAGAGGTTGAATGAAACTACCAAAACTATATCTGAAGAATCACAGAGATGTCTCTTTGTATCACAAAGCTCAACAAGGGCTCAGTTGAAACATAACTAGGCATTTCCAGGATTGTATCTGCTGCAGAAATGATGCCTCAGTTAACACTCTCTTGTAGTCATGGTTTATAGAGCTCCTTCTTGAAATGAAGGATAAAAACTATTAAAATCCTTAAGACAATGAACTTCTTTCATTGCGAGACACAAAGTGATAGATGAGTTCCTTGACCTAAAGAAGCTCCAAACAAGTAAAAGCAGGCATTGACAATAATAATTTCAGGCAGGTAAGCTAAGAACTTTGCACAGATAAGATGTACTGCAAGGAGACTTACAGTTGATAGTCGAAACGGGCAGAACTTTGGCTTTCCCCTCCTCCCATACTTAAGCAGAAAAGCCCCCTTCTTGAGCGCTGTGATGGCCTTTTATTCCCATAAGAAGCACAATCAAATATCCTATACTTTTTCTGCGTCAAGTTCAAAAGAACGAAGCAAATGCAATGCGAAAAACAGTACCTGGTCAATATCTCTCTCAGCTAGAGCAGGCCTCTGCAAATCAGCCATTCAAGTTGTAATGCGATCACTAAGAAAAACCCAAAACCCATTTGAACCTCCACAGCCTAAAAACAATCTCCTCCTCCTACACCTACTCTCCCCCATATAAGACCACAAGCTCACAACAAAGCTATTCTCTTTTCATCTGCCCCATCATAAAATCCCTGAAGAACATTCAAACAAACAGAAATCCCTGCTTATTAAAGAGAAAGGCCCCTAAACTTGCTTAAACAGGCCTCAAGAGCTCTATTCACGACTCAAAACCGTTGAACATTCAGCTCTAGAGCGGCTAAACCAACTCTTGGAAAATCCAAAGAAACCAAGAAATCCCTATTCAACCTTTCAAGAAAAACTCCAATTCTTGAATATGTGCAATCAACACTGACGCCTTGAAACAAGATTCCGTATCAAAATCCTTTAATCAACCTTCACCAAATCACATCACAGATTTGCATTTATCACATGTAATGCAGGCCACTTGGAATGAATCTGAGGCCTTCTTGTTCCTTTTCCTTGAACTATAATTCGTAGGGTATAATGACTTCGACAGGAGGGAAATTGAAAGACAAAAATGACAACTTTTTTAGCTCGGCATCAAAGCTCTCTTCCCCCTTTCCTGGGACAAAAGGGTCTTGCAGATTAATTAAAAATCAGTAAATTTTGTTCCAGAGGAGCTATAAAGATGTCGAAATTTTGTCTTTATTTCCTCAACATTTTGTTCTCATCCTTTGTCTCTTTCTCTTTTTCTCTGCTGATTTCTTTTTTGTTTCCGCTGCTTTGTTAACATCCCTCTTTTTCGGAGTTACGCCCTGTCAGCATCAAAAAGTCAGATTCTTGCATCTGAGATTTTTTGATGATTGGGATGTTCTGATTTTGTCCTTTTCTAGAGCAAAATTAACGAATAAGGCCAAAAGTCTGCCTGTAAGCCTAAAAAGGGACGAGTCACACTATGACAAATTACAGTAATCACGCCTTATCTTTGGAATAATTATGAAAAACCTCCTTTTAAGCTTTTGGTATCCACAGGTCTGGGGAAGCCATATTTGCTAGTTTACCCGATATATTTTTTTTGACGGAAGTTTACCCGATATTTCAATTACACTACCTCTTTGTCTAATGAATTTTTGTAAGAACAAAGTAATCTAACTAAATACGAAATTTTGGGAGAGACAAATGTGATACCATAACCTATTCCCTTTTTTTCTGGCAAAAGAAAAAGAACAGCTACGATATGACTAAACTCAAGAAATGTGAACAAAAGATTTCAAAAACCAATAAACAAAATCAATACGATTTTTCTTGTATATCTCTGCCTTCTCTGGATGAAAGACTCCTCACAAGGCAAAACATAAAAACATATGTTGTTGCTAACCCCATTTTCTCTATGATTGTAATGGAATTGTGTTGCAACATTCAACGAATTGTATAATTGGCCAAATTGTTTATCCCAAGTTCCAACAGTATACTAATTTGTTTCGTTAAGGGACTTGGAAATCAAGTAAGATCTTAATTGGAAATATCGTTGGCAAGTAATATTTTAGTTGTAAAGGGATCGTATTGATAATTATGTCCGTTCGAGTGGAATACTTATAAATCTAGATATAAATCATTTCAAATTGATTTTTTTGATTGCTTGATTTTCTTGAATCTCACATATCCAATTGAGCTTAATCCACTTTTAGAATAGACCTTTTCAAACATGTTTTCAAGGGGAAGCTATTTCTTTATTGCACTAGGAAAGGAAGAATCCAAAAGGAGCTAATAAAAGAGAAATGCAACTAAACAAGATGAGAACCTGAAATCAATGGCACAATTATGGAAACATAAAAAATCAATAACCTACGAATCTGTCTATTTAGAACATAATCCACTGACAATGTTGAGGCTTTTTTTTTTTTTTAATAAATTTTTTCTTTTTAGTATAAGTGAAAAGACTTGAACCCGAAGTCTCTCACTTATATTCCCTTCTCCCCTGGCAATGACAATGTTGACGCTTGATTTCAATGAAAGCAAGCAGCTGCAGCACTTGTTGAACAATGCTGATGGAGAAGTAGCAAAGATCATTAAGCAGAACAAAGAGTTATTCTGATGGACAAGTCGTCCATATACCTTAGTAGTACTTTAGTCACACTTCGATATGCAGGCAACCTCAGTTTCAACAAGCTTTGCAATCAGAAAAATGCAACGAAAGATGGTCAAGTGATCATATACTCGCTGCCCAGTTGGCTCTGAGCCAGAAAAAGTACCAACTTTGTGGTGCGGTACCAGTAAATACAGGGTGTTAATAATATCCTCTATCGTTTTCAAAGATCATATAGGTGCTCCTCCTCGCCCGGGCTTCTCTATCAGCCTGTACACAGAAACACAAAACTGTCGATTATGGACTGCCATGACATCAGCACACAGATAAAAGAAACGTTCATGCAAATGAACAGGAATAAATATTACTTTATTGACAAGAATGTTTTAAATTAATTATCTTACAAAAGGATATATAGGTCTTATAGCATATGTCCTGTGTATGGATTTGCAGAAAGAGGAAAACTTTATGAACGATGGGAAAATGCTGAAGTACCATTGGTCAAGAAAGGGGTTCTTCCCAAAATATTATGTGCATTCAGAAACACTGTTTGAGCAATGAATAGTTATTGTTTTAGCAATGCGCATGTCAGTATATCAGCTGAGGAAAACAACCTCACGTATGAATCAGACTAGTACAGCTCGTTAGCAGTAATTATAATTCACGGTGAGCTATGAAAGAACAACAAATGGATCAGTAACTTGTAGTAATTGTAGATGCTCAACATTGTAAGTAGTAACTTTGAAAAATGAATAGCATTAGTACCTAATTCATGTTCATGGTCAGATACTCAGCATTCAGGACACATTTTACTATTCAAGAACTTATTTCCAATCATGCTCTCTCTATTGGTAAAACTGCACTACTAAAGATTCCACATCAAGGGTTCACCCCCTTTTTCCCCAGTTTTTCCCCGCCCAAAAAAATTAGCTGGTCTAAATGCAAAATCTAAAATCCAAAGTTAGACGTTTAAGGTACAAACATTTTTAGCATACCCTGGCTATCATTCTCTCAAAGGCTTCTGGTCCATTTTCTTCAATGTATTTTTCTGCAGCAGTAAGGACATCATCTGGTTTACTGAAAACATCCTTCTTTCGAGGTACATACCAGATCTTAACTTGTGGATTCCTGTAGAAAGGTCTAATGAAATGCTCATAAACATAAGCTGCTCCGTTGAACTGAGGTAGGACTAGCCAGCATATACCAATCAGTTTCGCATAGGGCCAAATGGGTAACCTTATGCCAACAAGAAAATCAAATAGTAAGGGCAGGTCAACAGCAACATACTTTATCCAGACATGCATGAGCACATTCTTACAGCAGCACACAGGCAATTCTTTTATGGCAAAGCAAACCAAAATTAAGGATGTAAAGGGGGGAAATTCCTCTCAGCTTTCAACTTTTTTTTAGCCAAAAAGTTATTCACTTTGTAAACTTCTCCCATGTACTCTCTAAGGATAAATGAGAGGACAGAAAATATCAAGTTAAAACATCATTCACGCAAAGAGTGATCTCGTCAGTCTTTACGGTGGGATGAAATGTGCTTTTATATCGAAGAATCGATGGATATGCACGCGACGAAGCACAAAAAGAAGTTCCTCAATTTAGGCTGAAATATTTTGTCCATTGTGACTCAGTTCCTCCATTTTACACTGGTTACACGGCTACGTGGTGTTGATGCTTTAAGGTGGTAAAATCATGAATATTCTCATAATACTTGCTCCTAATGAGCTATATAAAGGTAGTAATCTCATGATAAATAAATAAATAAATTTGGTATTAGTTCCCCTGTCAACTGTATTTTACTTAATCTGATGTAATTGCATTATGCACTTGGTAACTGAGAGGAAGTGCTATTGTTGGACTTCAGCCCTGTATATGTGGAACAAAAGAAGGTGATGAGACTGAAATATTGGAAATGACTGGTCCAGGCAATGAAAATAGGAAATAAGTAACTTCGGTGAAGTGGATCATGTTGTAGTAGCTTCAAGCATTTGGCAACAGGTTCAGCCAGTCCAAGGCCGATTCACCATAATTTAGCAGTATAAGAGATGTAAGAAACTCGAGTTTGCAGCACACTTACCACTCAAGAACTTTGAAAAATGTAAGCTCGAACAGAGTAATTAGAGAATAAAGAACCCAATAAGTTAACCACTGCCTGTCATCAGCACGAGATTTAGTCTCTATGGCCCTAATAGAAGCGTACCTGTCAACATCACAATGACAAGGTTAGATTGTCATTTACCATCCTATGAACCATGCAACAAATACACATAATACCAAATAAAGATATCCTTCAACCATAAACATGCAACAGCCATCAAGCCCACCAACCCTCTATGCTACTTTTACTCTGATTTCAAATGCCTTTTGGGAGCAGAGAGGTAAGGGGTCTCTAATTTTCCCTCCTACCATAAAAGCAGAATATCCATTCTCAAATAACATCAGAAGGAAAAATTTACTGGGACAATCTAAACACCGGCATTACCCTACCTTATTTGATCAATATAGCTGTACTATTAAGCAACAAACTAAGCAGTGATTTTGCAATTCTTTCCTCTTCCTCAAAGATTTGCAATGTGAAGTACTATGCAACAAATAATCACGAAAGATCCAAACTTTTTGACAAAAGGACAGAGACTTACAGAGGATACACGAGAGAAATCACAGGCCTGAAAAAGGAACAAACAGATTTTAGTTAGCAAAAAAAAAAAAAAGGAACTATTTGAGAAGAAAAATCAAATCTTGGTTTCAGCTTTTAGTAGAAAAATATTACCGTGATATAGAAGCATGCAGCAACAATCACATTGTAAAGCAAGTAGCGTTACAAAAAGAACCGAGGCAAAAAGAAATTAGAACTTGAAGAAAAATAAATTACTACTACATTCTTACATAGCAATAACATCAATGTTCTTGGCCATCACAGCAAGAAGATTATTCCCAGAATTACCCATTTTTTTTCCTGGGAGTAGAATTGCAATCTCTGCCTGTTTTGTTCCGGGGTCCTGCAAGATTTTAGAACAAGCACAAACCACTTCCTGTTTTCTTCTCTAGGACAGCGTGACAGAAACCAAAGGAATGTGTTTTGCATTGAGTCAAGGAAAGTCTTACACAAACAAGTAATACTAAAAATTAGAAAAGAAAGAGAAAAGGAAAGTGTTGCAGAAAAGGACAATTTTCTAGAAAGTATGGAAAGGTGATTGAAATTTGTAACCGAGAAGCGTCAAAATTTCTTCTAGGACATAGGACATCTTTATGCTTCACGAAGAAAGAGGCACCGAAAAATCTTCGCCCTTTTTTCCATTAGCTGCTATATTGCTGTTGGTGCATCCAAATTACAATGGCCAATCATATTCGAGCTAGACAGTCAAGCGCAGGACAAAGTACTACTTTAAGGTCCGAGACATGGGACTCGGTCTGAATCTTATTGGCTTTTAGATTAAAAGGATGGTATTGTTGACGAAAGTGGGGTGCATTGGATCTCCGCTCTAGTGACTTTCCCGGTTTCCTGTACTACTTTTGACTCCCGAAAACGCGGCAGGGAATAGTGAAGAAAAAGGAGAGCTTTCAATGATGAGGAAAAAAAAAAATAGCATGTGATTTATTGCCTATATTATATCATTAAGATTGAATCACATTATTCGCCATTTAATTCTTTTTTCTTAATTTTGTGCAAGAAATTGACCATGTTGTTCCAAAAAGACATATAAACTACATTACATTTGGTAAATTTGACATGGCGATAGTCTTA